TCCCCACCCCCCTGAGCCAGCCAGTCCCTGCCCTGGGGCCGGGTGGGAGCCGGCGCCCCCTAGAGGGGACAGGCCCCGTGCCCCATTCCCCACCCCCCTGAGCCAGCCAGTCCCTGCCCTGGGGCCGGGTGGGAGCCGGCGCCCCCTAGAGGGGACAGGCCCCGTGCCCCATTCCCCACCCCCCTGAGCCAGCCAGTCCCTGCCCTGGGGCCGGGTGGGAGCCGGCGCCCCCTAGAGGGGGCCTCACCTTGTCGATGTAGCTCTGACCCAGGTCCTTCACCTCCTTCAGGTTGATCTGAGCCTTCGCTTTCTCCTTCCCCTTCTTCCCCTTCTTCCGCTTCCTGCATTTCTTGCAGGCGCAGACGCAGCAGCAGAGCAGGAGAAGAGCCACCACGAGCAGGATGGTGGCCACGGCCCAGGGCGGGACTGCAGCGGGGACAGAGCAGGAGTGAGACGCGGCCCCTCTGGGGCGGGGGGTGGGGGGCTGGGGCTGGGGGACCCCTCGCCCGGCGCTGGGATGCGGCCCCTCTGGGGCAGGGGGGTGGGAGTGCTTCTACAGGGACCTCTGACCCAGTGCTGAGATGGGGTGGGACACGGGGGCTATGGGGTGAGGATCCCCCCCCGCCCGAGCACTCACTTGGCAACTTGCTGAGCTTGTTCATGAACTTGTCCTTCATGTCGGAGAAGACGTCCTCCTTGCTGGGCGTCCCGGTGGCGTTCGCGGCCGGCTCGGTGGGAGGCACAGTCACCTCCGAGGCCAGCATGGCCGATCTCCGAGCTGCATTCATCTTTGCACCTGGGGGAGGGGAGGGCACAGGTCTGGGTCAGCCGATCATCACGGGGGCAGAGGGACTGCCCCAAGGGTGCCCGTCCCCCCGCCGCCTGAGTCTGCCGAGAGCCTGAATCTATTGCTCAGAGAGGTGGGAATTGTCCCAAGTGCCCCATACATCTCGCCAGGGTGTTAACTACCAGCCCCATTTCTGTGTGTGTGGGGGGGGGGTCCCCACCAACCCCTCCCTGCAGGAGGCTTTGTCTGTGCAGGAGGAGATACCACCCCCCTCCCAAGCAGTCTCCCCCTGGCTTCTGGGGTAGGCACTGCGGGATCCCACTGCTGCCACCAAATCAGAGAGCGGAGCTGTGGCAGGGCAAAACCTAGGGATCCTTGGTGAGGGGGTCCCTTCAGCGAGGGGTGGTATGTGGGATGCTGGCTGACTAGGTCAGTTTTGCTCAGGATAGGTACTGGTCTTATACGTGTGCGTTGTTTAGCCCTGGCAAGGCGCTTGTAAGTTGCCGCCGGCGTTAACCGCACAGGCGAGGTCGGGAATCCAGGAAATAGGTCAAATTAGCTTGATCAGTTTGAAAAGATTTGCCCTAAATGTGTGAACCTAGGCCCGGGAAGCCCCCGCCCAGCAGAAGGACAATCAAACTGGGCAATCAATCAAACTGAGTCCCGGCTCTACGCGCCTCCCTGCTGGTCCTGTCCCTGACAGGCTCCTCCATCTTCTGTGCAATGGGCCGGGGTCGCCCCGGGGGACAACGGCTGAGCCACAAACACAGACTTGGAGCTCGCGTTGCTCCCCGCTGGCAAACTGCCTCTGCGCCCTGCACTTCACGGGGTGAGGAATCGAACCCAGGAGTCCTGGCTCCCAGCCCCCCACTGCTCTAACCACTGGACCTCACTCCCCTTCCAGAGCCGGGGAGAGAACCCAGGAGTCCTGGCTCCCAGCCCCCCACTGCTCTAACCACTGGACCTCACTCCCCTTCCAGAGCCGGGGAGAGAACACAGGAGTCCTGGCTCCCAGCCCCCCACTGCTCTAACCACCGTACCTCACTCTCCTCCTAGAGATGGGGAGAGAACCCAGGAGTCCTGGCTCCCAGCCCCCCACTGCTCTAACCACTGGACCTCACTCCCCTTCCAGAGCCAGGGAGAGAACCCAGGAGTCCTGGCTCCCAGCCCCCCACTGCTCTAACCACTGTACCTCACTCTCCTCCTAGAGATGGGGAGAGAACCCAGGAGTTCTGGCTTCCAGCTCCCCCTGCTCTAACCCACCAGCCCCCCTGCTCTAACCATTAGATCCCCCCCCACACACACACCTTTCCTGCCATACCAGGCACTGTTAGTGTCTGACTCCATAATGGGCTGTAAACGGACCCGGGTGTAGTGCTGACTGTCCAGGTGTGGGGAGGAGCTCATGGATGGTGGATTCCTGGCGTTGCCAGAGGAGAATCCCCATTAACCAGTTGCCCTGCAGGGTCTATGCCACAAAGCAGAGCGTGCTCTGATCCTGCCCAGCAGGGGGCAGCGCTGCGCTCAGTGTCACAGGGAGTTGTCGTCCCTTCCAGTCTATCCTTCCTCACACCAGCCCAGGTGATGGGAGAGAGGCCGGTCTTCATGGTTACCCAAGGCAGAGCACCAGGAGGGTGGGTGTATCCTTTGGTGGGAGAGGCGGGGCCGTAGTCTGCCCCGCCCATGCTGGGTGTGGCCAGGTGAGGGCGGGGAAATGGAGAAAGTGAGGGTGTGTATGGGGATGGAGAGATGCATCGAGGATGGGGATGGAAGGAGGGTGTGAATGGGGAAATGAATGGATGGCTAGAGGGTGTGTATGGGGATGGAGGAAGGGTGTGAATGGGGATGGATGGAGGGTTTGGTTGAATGGACGGAGGGCGTGGAGGGAGGGAGGGAGAGAGGGTGTAGATGGGGATGGCCAGAGGGTGTGAATGGGGAGGGAGGGGAGGGTGTGAATGGATGGATGGGGATGGGGATGGAGGGTTTGGTTGAATGGACGGAGGGCGTGGAGGGAGGGAGGGAGAGAGGGTGTAGATGGGGATGGCCAGAGGGTGTGAATGGGGAGGGAGGGGAGGGTGTGAATGGGGAGGGAGGCAGGGTGTGAATGAGGATGGCTGGAGGGCTTGGTTGGATA